ATGGTCGACAAAATAGTCGCGGCGTGGTCGAAACTTAAGTCGCGGCATGGTTGAAAAATTAGTAGCGGCGTGGCCCAAAAATTAGTCGCGGCGTGGTCGAAACATTAGTCGCGGCATGGTCGACAAAATAAACGCAGCGTGGTTGAAACATTAGTCGCGGCATGATCGACAAAATAGTCGCGGCTTGTTTGAAACATTAGTCGCGGCGTGGTCGACAAACTGGTCGCGGCGTGGTCGAAACTTAAGTCGCGGAATGGCCAAAAAAAGTAGCGGCGTGGCCCAAATATTAGTCGCGGCGTGGTCGAAACGTTAGTCGCGGCATGGTCGACAAAATAGTCGCAGCGTGGTCGAAACATTAGTCGCGGCGTAGTCAAAGAATTAGTCGCGGCATGGTCAACAAAATAGTCGCGGCGTGGTCGAAACATTAGTCGCGGCATGGTCGACAAAATAGTCGCAGCGTGGTCGAAACATTAGTCGCGGCATGGTCGACAAATTGGTCGCGGCGTGGTCGAAAGATAAGTAGCGGCGTGGCCCAAATTTATTAAACGCGGCGTAGTAGAAACATTAATCACTGCATGGTCGACAAAATAGTCGCGGCGTGGTCGAAAAAGTAGTCACGGCATGGTCGACAAAATAGTCGCAGCGTGGTCGAAACTTAAGTCGCGTCATGGTCGACAAAATAGTCGCGGCGTGGTCAAAAAAATAGTCGCGACATGGTCGACAAAATAGTCGCGTCGTGGTCGAAACTTAAGTCGCGGCATGATCGAAAAATAAGTAGCGACGTGGCCCAAGTATTAGTCGCGGCGTGGTCGAAACATTAGTCGCGGCGTGGTCGAAACATTAGTCGCGGCATGGTCGACAAAGTAGTCGCGGCGTGGTCGAAACATTAGTCGCGGCATGGTCGACAAAATAGTCGCGGCGTGGTCGAAACATTAGTCGCGGCTTGGTCGACCAAATAGTCGCAGCGTGGTCGAAACATTAGTCGCGGCATGGTCGACAAAATAGTCGCGGCGTGGTCGAAACATTAGTCGCGGCATGGTCGACAAAATAGTCGCGGCGTGGTCGAAACTTAAGTCGCGGCATGGTTGAAAAATTAGTAGCGGCGTGGCCCAAAAATTAGTCGCGGCGTGGTCGAAACATTAGTCGCGGCATGGTCGACGAAATAGTCGCGGAGTGGTCGAAACCTTAGTTGCGGCATGGTCGACAAAATAGTCGAGGCGTGGTCGAAACATCAGTCGCGACATGGTCGACAAAATAGTCGCAGCGTGGTCGAAATATTAGTCGCGGCATGGTCACAAAATAGTCGCGGCGTGGTCGAAACATTAGTCGCGGCTTGGTCGATCAAATAGTCGCAGCGTGGTCGAAACATTAGTCGCGGCATGGTCGACAAAATAGTCGCGGCGTGGTCGAAACATTAGTCGCGACATGGTCGACAAAATAGTCGCGGCGTGGTCGAAACTTAAGTCGCGGCATGGTTGAAAAATGAGTAGCGGCGTGGCCCAAATTTATTAAACGCGGCGTAGTAGAAACATTAATCACTGCATGGTCGACAAAATAGTCGCGGCGTGGTCGAAAAAGTAGTCACGGCATGGTCGACAAAATAGTCGCAGCGTGGTCGAAACTTAAGTCGCGGCATGGTCGACAAAATAGTCGCGGCGTGGTCAAAAAAATAGTCGCGACATAGTCGACAAAATAGTCGCGTCGTGGTCGAAACTTAAGTCGCGGCATGATCGAAAAATACGTAGCGGCGTGGCCCAAGTATTAGTCGCGGCGTGGTCGAAACATTAGTCGCGGCGTGGTCGAAACATTAGTCGCGGCATGGTCGACAAAGTAGTCGCGGCGTGGTCGAAACATTAGTCGCGGCATGGTCGACAAAATAGTCGCGGCGTGGTCGAAACATTAGTCGCGGCTTGGTCGACCAAATAGTCGCAGCGTGGTCGAAACATTAGTCGCGGCATGGTCGACAAAATAGTCGCGGCGTGGTCGAAACATTAGTCGCGGCATGGTCGACAAAATAGTCGCGGCGTGGTCAAAACTTAAGTCGCGGCATGGTTGAAAAATTAGTAGCGGCATGGCCCAAAAATTAGTCGCGGCGTGGTCGAAACATTAGTCGCGGCATGGTCGACAAAATAGTCGCGGCGTGGTCGAAACCTTAGTTGCGGCATGGTCGACAAAATAGTCGAGGCGTGGTCGAAACATCAGTCGCGACATGGTCGACAAAATAGTCGCAGCGTGGTCGAAATATTAGTCGCGGCTTGGTCACAAAATAGTCGCGGCGTGGTCGAAACATTAGTCGCGGCTTGGTCGACCAAATAGTCGCAGCGTGGTCGAAACATTAGTCGCGGCATGGTCGACAAAATAGTCGCGGCGTGGTCGAAACATTAGTCGCGACATGGTCGACAAAATAGTCGCGGCGTGGTCGAAACTTAAGTCGCGGCATGGTTGAAAAATGAGTAGCGGCGTGGCCCAAATATTAGTCGCGGCGTGGTCGAAACATTAGTCGCGGCATGGTCGACAAAATAGTCGCGGCGTGGTCGAAACCTTAGTTGCGGCATGGTCGACAAAATAGTCGCGGCGTGGTCGAAACATCAGTCGCGGCATGGTCGACAAAATAGTCGCAGCGTGGTCGAAATATTAGTCGCGGCATGGTCGAAAAAATAGTCGCGGCGTGGTCGAAACCTTAGTCGTGGCATGGTCGACAAAGTAGTTGCGGCGTGATTAAAACTTAAGTCGCGGCATGGTCGAAAAATACGAAGCGGCGTGGCCCAAATATTTGTCGCGGCATGGTCGACAAAATAGTCGCGGCGTGGTCGAAATATTAGTCGCGGCATGGTCGACAAAAAAGTCGCGGCGTGGTCGAAACATTAGTCGCGGCATGGTCGACAAAATAGTCGCGACGTGGTCGAAACATTAGGCGCGGCATGGTCGACAAAATAGTCGCGGCGTGGTCGAAAAATTAGTCGCGGCATGATCGACAAAATAGTCGCGGCGTGGTCGACAAAATAGTCGCGGCGTGGTCGAAACATTAGTCGCGGCATGGTCGACAAAATAGTCGCAGCGTGGTCGAAACATTAGTCGTGGCATTGTCGACAAAATAGTCGCGGCGTGATCGAAAAAAAAGTCGCGGCTTGGTCGAAAATTTAGTCGCGGGCAGGGTCGAAAAGTTTGGAATATATTCATTTTTATACATTTATTAGTTTTTAATATATGTCTATAATGCGTATTTATATTCATAAAATTTCAAGCCTTAATTCTAATGCGTAGTTATTAATTCGCGGCTTGGTCACAAAATAGTCGCGGCGTGGTCGAAACATTAGTCGCGGCTTGGTCGACCAAATAGTCGCAGCGTGGTCGAAACATTAGTCGCGGCATGGTCGACAAAATAGTCGCGGCGTGGTCGAAACATTAGTCGCGACATGGTCGACAAAATAGTCGCGGCGTGGTCGAAACTTAAGTCGCGGCATGGTTGAAAAATGAGTAGCGGCGTGGCCCAAATATTAGTCGCGGCGTGGTCGAAACATTAGTCGCGTCATGGTCGACAAAATAGTCGCGGCGTGGTCGAAACCTTAGTTGCGGCATGGTCGACAAAATAGTCGAGGCGTGGTCGAAACATCAGTCGCGGCATGGTCGACAAAATAGTCGCAGCGTGGTCGAAATATTAGTCGCGGCATGGTCGAAAAAATAGTCGCGGCGTGGTCGAAACATTAGTCGTGGCATGGTCGACAAAATAGTCGCGGCGTGGTCGAAACATTAGTCGCGACATGGTCGACAAAATAGTCGCGGCGTGGTCGAAACTTAAGTCGCGGCATGGTTGAAAAATGAGTAGCGGCGTGGCCCAAATATTAGTCGCGGCGTGGTCGAAACATTAGTCGCGGCATGGTCGACAAAATAGTCGCGGCGTGGTCGAAACCTTAGTTGCGGCATGGTCGACAAAATAGTCGAGGCGTGGTCGAAACATCAGTCGCGGCATGGTCGACAAAATAGTCGCAGCGTGGTCGAAATATTAGTCGCGGCATGGTCGAAAAAATAGTCGCGGCGTGGTCGAAACATTAGTCGTGGCATGGTCGACAAAGTAGTTGCGGCGTGATTAAAACTTAAGTCGCGGCATGGTCGAAAAATACGAAGCGGCGTGGCCCAAATATTTGTCGCGGCATGGTCGACAAAATAGTCGCGGCGTGGTCGAAATATTAGTCGCGGCATGGTCGACAAAAAAGTCGCGGCGTGGTCGAAACATTAGTCGCGGCATGGTCGACAAAATAGTCGCGACGTGGTCGAAACATTAGGCGCGGCATGGTCGACAAAATAGTCGCGGCGTGGTCGAAACATTAGTCGCGGCATGATCGACAAAATAGTCGCGGCGTGGTCGACAAAATAGTCGCGGCGTGGTCGAAACATTAGTCGCGGCATGGTCGACAAAATAGTCGCAGCGTGGTCGAAACATTAGTCGTGGCATTGTCGACAAAATAGTCGCGGCGTGATCGAAAAAAAAGTCGCGGCTTGGTCGAAAATTTAGTCGCGGGCAGGGTCGAAAAGTTTGGAATATATTCATTTTTATACATTTATTAGTTTTTAATATATGTCTATAATGCGTATTTATATTCATAAAATTTCAAGCCTTAATTCTAATGCGTAGTTAAAATTTTCTCAATTCGGATCGGCAGTTTTTTCGCCGAATCGTCACTAACGTATCTGTTGTGTTAGAATCCAGGATTATATCAAAGTTGTTCAGTTTTAGTCTCTTCTGAAAAACAAATATTGTTTTATGTAGAGAATTGACAATACTTGGAACAGAAAAAAATCTGATTAAAAAGAGCGATTGACTAAAATCAGATTTTTTTGCGCACCATTGCTAACTTTTCAGCCAAAAATTATGTCTCAAGATCGCTTGATAATTCAAAATTGCATGCATAACTTGTTCAAATTTGACAAATTTTTTGTTTAAAGTAATTTTGTTTATTCCAACTGTTTTGCAATTTATTAAAAGGTTTGTCACTGTTCAGATCCAGATGGCGTCGTTTGACGAAGAAAATGACAATTCCAGCTTCAGTGGCGGCAACAGCAGCAAGAGTGTAGTCACTTTAGGACAGGAGTACGCGGAGGCCATCTGGACCCCGGATCTCTACTTCCCAGACGCCATCGAGATACTCAGACCTGGAAAAGGTATACACTATTATATGAGTATACAGAGAGACCAATGATACCCTCCATTTCATTAAAGTATGTTACTATATTAAAAACCAGTTTGTCCTACTGTAATCCACAATAAGTAAGGTCAGTTTCCGAACCCTCTTGAAGTTACGATTCCAGTCTAAGAAAACTTTGTGACTCAAGGCATGTTTTTTGCGTCTAGCACTCTCTATTGCTCCCAAAAATGAAGCCGAAGTTGGTAAGGCTGCGGCAAACCTGAACCTAAAAGTCAAGTGAAAGTTCGTCTTCTCACGGTATGATTGCGCTGGCAGAGATCGAATTATAAAATTAGAGTTATTGAGAACAATAGAAAGCCATTACGAGGCCAAACTGTGCATTCTCTGCATTGTAAGCGGAATCCGCAACAGGCCAAAATCAGATTTGTCGCGGAATCCGCAACATTGCTACTTTTCTTTGATCTTCGATGCTGTTTTGGATTCTACAAACAAATACCTAAATCTGGTCTTAATCTGCTAGCTTTGACAATATGAAGGTGTCTTCTGATACCGTCTTCTGATCGTCGCTGAGACAAATTTATCAAAACTTAATTTGCTTTGCAGGTGCTATATTCTAAAATCGGCCAGATCTATGTGGATTAAAAATAATTTTGATAAAAAGTGCTGAAATCGATTTCATCGATTCCGGTTGAGATATATCAAAGGGTGCACAAAATAGCCCCAAGTTACATTTCGCAAGTTACTTATCCCACACAAATTGACTACTTCAAACCTCAATATCTTCACGAATACTAATTTTTGTTAAAATGTTATTTTAATTCGATTTCAAGGTTATCGCTAAGACTCTCAATAAAAGACAACTCGCAAATTTTCAGGAAAACGACAATTTGGTTTACGGCTGCCGGTGGGGGCGCGTCGCCGCTTCGCGGCAATAACCGGCTCTAATTTTGGTATAAAGACGTATAATATCTATCGGCAACCTCGCACCCTCGCAACACGCTGGCGCGATTGCGGTGGTGAGTATATTGCGAGTTGTCTGTTAATACAATTTGCTTTTTTTTATTCTGACCATTTGAAAAATTGGGACAAACTTTGAAATTTTTGGTCTAATTTCGAGCAATTCAGGCTTATTTTGCTTAAGTCAAGTCAGTTGCAATAATTAATTTCTGCCTAAATTTAATTTTCCTCAAAGAAAAAAAGTTTTTGGATTTTTTCATGCCTATTGACGAATCGAGATCTTCAAAACATTTTCAGCCAAAAAATTTGGAATAAACCTTTATTGGTTTTGTGAATAATATATATTTTTTGGTTCTTCTAGCCATTTTCTAGAAAAATTGTTTTTTTTTGCTTATTTGACTATAAGTGTCAAATATGCCTCATCTTTTTTTTGTCTGTTTATCACACCACGCAGAAAAAATGACAGTAATTTGAAAAGTTTATGTATTTATTGTATTTTTTAAGACTATGGTCGGAATACTCTGTGCTAGTTGCACGGTATTTGGTTATCCTTGTTGCAAGTTGCTTTTTGTTGTGAGGTGTCGCATTACGGATTTCAAAAGTCAATAACTTTCAAATGGTTAAAAAACATTCATAAGTGGCTAGTTAAAAAAATTGAAGTTAGTCTGAAGAAAAAAACACTCTCTGAGTAAATATTCCATTCTTTCTTCGAAAATTGTGACATTAAAAGTGTTGTATCAAAGTTGAACTGTGTGTTTTCCTGCTGCCCGTTAGCATCTATGAAATAATATTCTTGAATTTTTTAAAAACATAAATGAAATTTTCGAAAAAAAAATTGAAAAATATATATTTTTTAAAGATATCCTAAGCAAGTCTCCGAAACGCTAACGAACCTAAATATTAATGCATTGAGCATCTAATAATTGATGAAAAGTAATGAACGAAGCAAAACAGTTTCAACAAATTGAAAATTTCAATTTCAACAATCTAAATTAAAACAACTTATTCATGCAACAGCTAAATTACATCAATACTCCTCGAATGATGGTAACGCGATAAAAACTCCTGGTGTATTTTAACGTCTATTGGGTATAGTGTGATGCAAAAAATTGATAAAACTGCCAAAAAAATACAAATAAACAAAATTACAAATTGAAAAATTGCTGTAATTTTTAGCAAAACAGTTTCAACAAATTGAAAGTTTCAATTTCAACAATCTAAATTAAAACAACTTATCCATGCAACAGCTAAATTACATCAATACTCCTCGAATGATGGTAACGCGATAAAAACTCCTGGTGTATTTTAAGGTTTATAGGCTATAGTGTGATGCAAAAAGTTGATAAAATTGCCAAAAAACGAAATTGATTCGACGAAACATAGTTGAAGACGCTAATTATAGTACAGAGCTTCACATAAAAATATAGTAAAAATTGCATTGACTAGCAAGCTTGAACTCAGTTTGATAAGATTTTTGGGATCTATTTAACAATCTCCACCCCTTTCAAGAAAGGGGGGAGATTGTTAAGTAGGTCAAAATGGTCGATTTTTCAACCAATCAGAATGCAGCAAAATTATAATTCTCAATAGAAAGCTCAGCGCTAATTTACTGTATTTATTTATAGGGGTGGATTTTCTTAAGTAGGTACCATAGGGGGTGGAGATTGTTTAGTAGATCCAATTTTTGTGCCAAATAAAAATGCTTTTTACACGTTAAAGTCTCAAACTGGTCAAATTGGCAATCTTTTCTTTCCAGATTTTTGAGCTCAGACGCCCACACTATCACCTAATATAAGAATTACCATTTAAAATGGCTAATTGCAAGATTAATGTTGGTCCCAATTTTCGTACACATATTTTATTTTTTGGTGCAAAAAAAAGTTTTTTTTTCTTCCTTAACACAATTGGCTACAACTGTAGCTTTGTTCATTCGGATTTAAAATAACAGCAACAAGATAACTTTTTGTTTTTTTTTTGTGAACAACTAAGCTTAAAAAAGATGAAGAATTACCTTAGAACAGCATATTTGTGCGTTTCAACCAGTGCGCAAAGCTTAAGCCGAAAATTTTAATTGAAGATTTCGTTCAACCGGCTAAAACACAAATTGATGAATAAGGCGATTTTTTTTAAATATTTACTGCTATTTATGTTGTAATTAATATCACGAGAACTAATTACTTTAAATAGATACATAGAGTTTGATTATAGGAGGATCTTTGTAAGCCATTATTTTATCAATCTACCATTTAACAGAACAAAAGCAAGTAGTCATTTTTTAGAGGGCGAAGGATTCAAAAGCATATATTTACAGGAAAAAAATCCCCGCGGAGGAACCTCAAATGATAGAAAACTAATTTGAGTCGATCAGAGTTTTTGTTGCCTGTCATCCAATACTCGAATTCGGAATGAGGTAAAGTAGTAGAGCATATTTTTTGCGTAACATTGCTTTTGTGCTATACTTCAAATTTAGTCTTTTAATTAGCATTTGGTAAGTAAATTTTTACATAATTTTTGCTTTGTCTGTGTTTGCTTACAGCTCACTAAAGGCCTCGTAATGTTAGGAGTTAAATGAAGAATTTACTTGCTGTTTGTATTCAATCAAAAATTGATTGAGAGCTTTTTTTTACAACAGGCCAACTAATTGTTCCGACTTTCGATACGAAAGTAACGGGATATTTGTGCTCGGGGTTGGTTTTTTTTTCTTCAGACAAGTTTCGACTTTTTTACTAGCCCTTTTTGAACAATTTTTTTTCTATCATTCGAAACGTATTTTTGTCCTGAACTTAATTGTGAAAAAATATTTCACCTGTGATCATGTTTCGTGAAAATATGGGGTTTAAAGATTGCCATTTGTGACAATTAACGCGCGATATATTTCGCGCTATTAACGCGAAAGCGGAGATTTAATCCGTCTTAGAAATCGTTCCAAATTGGTTGAAAGAAGCTTATTTGCCATGATTGATTTGTTAAAAGAAAGAAATCTATTCTTTTGTACTTTATATGGCGTGTGGGGGATGATTTTCAAAGAAAATTTCAAATTTTAGAAAAAAAAATTTTTCGTTTCAATTTATTTATTTTTTTTGTTAATACTGCTCCAAAAACCTTAGAAGGCAGTCGGATACGAGCAGTCTTGTTTTGTTTTTAAATAGAAAAACTCCACGAACATTTTGTGCATTATTTTACTGCGATTGGCTATTTCTTCCTGGGTCGAGGTCCCAGACTTTAAAATCATATCAAAAATTGTTGTCACAAAAGTCTGGCTATAGAGTCACGAAAGTTTGCACATAAAATTTCCAGACTTTCGCAAATTTATGTCCAGCTTTTTGCCTTTAGAAGTACACATTTATGTATATATGCAAAGAGATGATTTTTTGTTGACTAGGTTTGATTTCGGACAGCATGGTGCTGGCACTGTACGACGACTGTGAACTGTTCCAGTCTATGCGGCTGCAGGTGAAGAGCAGGTGCAAACTGGCACTCACTATGTTCCCAATGGACATTCAGAGCTGCGAGATATGCGTGGAGAGCTGTGAGTTCATCCAACCCAAATTAAACACATCATTGACCATTATGTATAAAATTAAAATTTCAATTGCTGTTCCGACCATTGAAAATGGGAAAAAACTTTGTTTTCGGGTGTTTTTGGAGTAATTTATAATATTAAAGCTCTTTCAGTCCTCTTTCGACCGAAAAAAGGTTTGAGAAAAACCGGTTTGAAGTTATTGAGTTCTAGTCTAATTTCGAGCAAGTAAAGCAAGCGAGCAGGCTTATCATAGAAGGATAAGGATAAACCATGAAACCTTAAGCTTACTCCACTTATACTACAGGCAAATTAGGCAACGGTTTGTGTCAAAAAATGACTAGAACAAAAAAAACTCAAAAAAATTCTATAAATTCTTTTTTCAATTTTTTTCCCAGAAACTGTTTCGAATTAGAGAAGTTTTTTTTAAATGCGCTAAAAAAATTGTCACCGAGAAAATTAGTTAATATAGTTTTGAAGTTTTTCAGCGCCGTTTTCGGAATATAAATCTTCAAAACTTCAAAACAATTTCTGCAAAAAAAAATTGAAAAAAAGTTTTTTGTTTCTAGTATTTTTTCGTTAAAAACCGTTGCCCGATTTGCCTATTTTACTGTGATTGTCGAACATGCCGAAATTTTATGTTTTCGCTAGACCCTTTCAACAAACCCTCGCACAAAAAAAAACATTTTTTACGTGTTTTTAAAAAGAATAAGGTCGGAACATTCTGTGCTACATGCACAGCAACCGGCTATCGCTGTTTTCGGTTTGTATTTTGATTGATACCTTAGCTTGATTTTTTCAACTTTTTTTATCTTATCAAAATGCCTGAGCTACATTTTCAGCAACTGTCTGTTTTCGTAATTTTTATGCAGACCAGTACCACACGGGAGATGTGCTTGTGAAATGGTGGGAGAAGAAAGTGCACTTGGACGGGGAGAGGCTGGAGAAGTACGGGACTGCCAACTTCTACATCGACTACGATCACTTCTGGAACAGAACCGCACACGTCGAATCATTCAGTAGGCCCTCAAATATTACCTAATATAACTATTTCAAATATAACTATTTCAAAAATACCTAATATAACTATTTCAACTCAAATGTCATTTAACTAGTGACCTTAAGTTTTTTCCCAAAACCGCGCTCTACGTCCAACCACCCACCCCGACCAAAAAAATTGAATTCAATGATGGTAGTAGTGATGGTATTGTGCACGAAGATAGTAAGGGTTATGGGCTGTTTTCCACTTTCCCCCACCTTTTATATTTTCTTCTTTTTTAGTTGTTTTTCGAGTTATGACTGCTAAACGCGTAACGGTACGGTGCAAGGTATGAAAAACAAATCCGTTCACAATGGTCAGTTTTTTCACCGTGTCAAGTTTCAGTGCATAACGGCTATGAGAAAGAGTTTGTCAAATTTGAAATTGAAAGGTGGTGAGGAAGTTGAAAAAAACCGGGGTTGTGTAATGAAGGTAAGCTGTAATAAAAAATGCTTTCGAAATTTTCACAAGACGATGTTCTGAAGGATAATTCGTTGAGAATGGGCAGTGAAAAACCGAAACTAACATTTTTTTATTTTTATATTAACATTTCTAGTTCATTTCTAAACCCGTACAGAAACAAAATGAAAATACAGATATGCCCAGGGTTAATCCATTTGTTGTGAGATTGCATATCTGTCCTGATTTGTATCAGACATGTTCAGACCTGGAAGATAAAAAAATTTTAATGTTACAGAAAAAAAAATTAAAAAAACAGATATGCCCAGGGTGAATCCATTTGTTGTGAGATTGCATATCTGTCCTGAACTGCATCAGACATGATCAGATCTGAAAAAATTTTTTTTTTGAAATTTTCGAATGAATTTTCAACTTTTGTCACGTGTCTTGTTTTTATCATTGAAAATAGTTATTTTAACAAATAACACTAAAACTCGTTTAGAAATCACGTACTTGTTTTCAGTTTTTGAAAAGTACGTATAGAAAAAAAATCTACAGACGTAGAGCTTTAGAATAATGTGTTTGTAATAATTCTGGAACGAAAAGTCGGGTGGCTAGAAATAAAAACCTGCGAAACAACTTTTTTTTCAGCTTTTTTCTATTATTCCAAGCTTATTGACATTTCTGATAATTAATTTACCAATTAGCTTATAAAAGTTGATTTTTTTTTCTGTTTTTCTCCTCTTGGACCCATTCTGCTCTCAACCGTTCTGCCTATTGACTGGCCACCGTGTGGCTTTTAAGAAATTTAAAATGTTAATTCAATGCTATGCATCCGTTGCATAGCAAGTGATTCAAGGCTCCGTTTAAATAACACATAGAATAGAAATAGAAAAATGTGAAATGGAATAAAATAATGTTCTCGAAAGTGTTGTCATTGACTGATGTAAAAAATTTATCAAAACTGTTTTTAGACCCTTGAATCGATCTGCCCCGGAGTCTTTGTGAAATTTTAGTGAGTGGAAATCTATCCAACAAAAACTTGGAAACCAGATCTGAGCATCTTAAAATCTTGCCTTTATCAGATCTTGTCCAGACATGGTGCATGTTTCGTTTGGACATGGACATGTCTGAATCAGGACTGAGGCAGGTATGGATTCTATCACAAAAGCAGATCTGCTCAAGGTCTGATTCAGACCTGGAACATATATGGGTCAGATCTGAACAGATCTGCACCAGGTCTGACCCATGTGTGCCCCAGGTCTGAATCAGACCTTGAGCAGGTCTGCTTTTGTGATAGAATCCGTACCTGCCTCAGTCCTGATTCAGACATGTACATGTCCAAACGAAACATGCACCATGTCTGGACAAGATCTGAAATAGGCAAGATTTTACGATGCTCAGATCTGGTTTCCAAGTTTTTGTAAGGTACGGGAAATATCTTCAGTAAAAATTTTTTTTTTGAATATTCACTTTCAGGCACTTGTCTCTCTCGGTGCAAAAAAAGTCGCATACAAACAGTCTTCCACCACAAAACAGACTAAAAATTAGAGCTGGTTATCGCTGCAGCGTGTCCACCGGCGACCTTAAGCCGGGCTTTCTTGTTGGACTGTTTTTTGTTTCTTTCATGATTTTTTGGACTGTTTTGTATTGGATTGTTTTGTATATGCACCGCCAGAAACGTATCAAGATTAATTCTGAGTCACTAAATAAGAAATTTTGATGCTCTAGATGACTAAACCGCAAAAAGGTCGAAGGCTCAGCTCAATTCGAGTGGAGAGGGGTATCTCTAAATGTTCAATCATCATCATTTTCAAACTTCGTACATTTGAACCCTGTCCAAGAAAACAAACTATTGCTTGAAACTCAGGAATCATCCTCGAATACAGATGTTCTATGTTTTAGAAAAATATATCTATCTGTAAACGATTTATTCGTATATATTTTCTTGGGTTAGAAAAGTTTAAGTTAATTATCCTTGGCTTAAGCCCAAAAATAGCAGTCATAATTTGTCACTGATGAGGAAACTTTTCTGAGACGCTCGTGAAGTTTGCGACTGTCCCGACATGGAGCTCTCCAAGTAAGCTTTGGTCATTTTGAGCATGTCGTCTATCTCTCGGATTCTGTTCACATCAAACACTAGCTTGTCCGAACTCCTGCTCCTCTGTGCGCTGTTGGGTCTATAAGTTTTTTTCGATTAATCACCCTAAATTCCCTCCATAATCTACAACTTTAAATGTAGTTTGAAGAAATGTAGCTGATCAATTATTTGGAAAACAAATTAAGTTCGAAAAATTAAATGCCTTCTTTCTTATGAAAATGCGTAATAAACCTTAAAATCGTAGCAAAATTGATTTCATACTTGATGATTGAAGCGAAGCTGGTGTAAATTTTGAAAAAAATCACCTTGAATTTGAATTTGAATTCTTTTTTGGTTATAAACAAAAACCACACAGGGACAAATTACGAGCCGAAGACTCTTTTGGGAGCTGCTCTGGAGCGAGTAGCGAGTCAGATAAGTTTTGCACACATTTTCATGGAAAAAGGCGTACAAAAAACTCAATGATAAACTTCGTAATTTTTTAACGTCAAAAATTCAGCAAAAACGTTCTAACACGTTAACCTTACAGTAGCATTTAGAGTGTATAAAAAGAAAAATTGTTTTTTTTTCTTATTTGAAATAACAGTTTTAGATAAGATATTAAAATCAGTAACTTTGAGATTAATGGAAAGACCAGGCCTTTTACTCTTCTTGTGACTTTTATCTTTACTCCGCAAGGTTTCGTTGTCAAACCTCACATGACCTTTATGAGACGATCTTGACCTTGACCTTGATCTTGAGAGCGAGGATTCACGCGACTTTGACCTTGAATTTGACCTTGAACGTGGAGCACGACCTTCAATTTTGTCCTTGTTTCGCCTCTTTTGGCGCTCTTTGGACTCGATTGAACTCTCAATTTGCTCAATTTGGTGCAAAAGCTGAGACTTTTTCTTGTCTCTTCTGGGACTGTGTTTGAAAGATGTGGATGAGTCACTTTGTTTCTCCTTCTGTTGAATCTGCTCTTGCATTATCTTCTGCAACCTTTTCAGCTCTTTCTTCTCTATTTTCAGCTGCCGCTCTAATTTGTCGATCTTCAGATTGATATATACGTCGTCAACGTTAATGTACCGATTGTCGATTGTTGGTCGGTCGAAATCGTTGAACCTGGAATGCAATTCTTTTTAAATTTTGGTGCCTCTAGCCGCGAGTTTTGTTTAAATCGTTTTATCAGTTTGGGGCGCGGTTAGCTTCAAAAAGCAGTTTTGCTGAAAGGAAGCTTCCTTATTGTTTTCTTGAAACTTTTTTGTTACCTAAAAGCTTCGTTTTCTTGCCTAAATTGTCGACTCTTGTGCAGTTTAATTTTTTCAAAGAAAACCACAACATATTTCGAGTCGTCAGAAATAATTAATTTGCTAGTAATCTGCAAACTAACGTTATATGTTGCATTTTGGTATAAAAACACTTTTTTCTTGATTATAACCGTCTTAATTCGAAGTCGATTCGGCTTTCGCTCATGGACCTTCGGTTGCGCCTGCGAATGTGGAAACTGTTATCGTCATTCGCCGTCATTCGGTTCCCGACCACGCCTTGGCGTCTGTTCTGATTGTTCCTTCGGAAGTCGAAACTGGAGTCCATGCTCTTCGCCTTGCGTCCGAAACTCAGCGGGGGCGGCCCCCCATTGTAGCCCTGCTGTTGCCGTGTGCGCTGCTGACTCTGGCTGGTGTTCGAGAAGTTGAGCGAACCATCTCGCGACTCGTTGTTGTTGAACTTCCGTCTCCGGAATCCTCGAAGGTTGTCGTACCTGAAAAAAAAACAACTTGGCACAGACCGGAAGGCTTTCATCTATTTCACAAAGGGTTTTCTAAGCCGGGTCTGTTTTGAGTACAAGGCTACTATAAGAAACAGGTTGAACATGGCATTACTTTCGTTTTTTTGCTGCTCATTATAAACACGCGTTGCCTAGTCTTGGCTTGGTTACAGTTCAGATGGCCGTTCAAACTAATTTTTTCTTGCTTTTTTGCTTTTTATTGACAACTGGCGATGATTTGGCTTTTTGTTATGGCAATGATTAGTCAATCATGCTACTGTTGAGGTGAAGATGAAGATGATAATTCCACCTGAGTCGTCTGTTTCGTATCGTCTCCGGGTCCAGCTCCCACCACTCGAGGTTCGCTGGCCTGCCCCCTGCCACCTCCTGCTGACCTCTCTCGTTGCTGAATGTCTGGTTTCGGAGGCTGCTCGATGAGCCCCTGGATCCCGATCTGGATGGGCCTGGGGGCGGCGGGGGTCTCCAGGTCGCCCCCTTGTATAGACGTTCCACACTCTGCTTGAGTCTAGACTGGTGCTCCTCCCGTCTACTTCGTCTCTGAATCTAACAACACAGCAGACCACATTGGATCAACATTTTGGAATCAACGACCCCCCCCCGCTAAAGAGACTAAAAACTTGTGATATCCCCAAGACTTGCCTCACGGTTGACCGGACGACGTTTCGACTCCGTGGCTGGTGAGTAGTGCCGCTGAGGGAGGAGCTGTCCGAAT